AAGAGATCGGAGTAGTATTGGTGGATGATTTTCTCCATAGCCCTTCTCGAAGCTGTAGTGTCCCGTCAGGGTATTGGATGCAGTCATCTTGGTCTTATAGTTGGCGAAGCCTCGCTGGGCTTTGCGATTGCTCTTCCCAGCTTCTGCAGTTTCTGCCATAACTGCGGCTCTTCTCTCTTTAAGGTCTTCTTTTACCGCTTATCTGCAGCGTTTCGCAAGTTCGGACGTAAGGTTTCGGTTTCCTGCAGCTCGTGCGATTCCACGTTGACGCATCGGCTCGAGTGTCTGCGGAGACAAGCGTCTCTTCGTGACCTTAGGACTCTCGGCTTTTATAGCGTTAACGTGAAGATATTCAACGAGTCGATCGTATTCTTCGTCGATGTTGTCGACAACGGTATCTTCCCAAGAGCCGACTATTGACTTGAATACGTCCCAGTTTATGGTAGTTCTGGGACTTCGTTGTTTGAATTTTGCGGCTTTCTCTCCTCTCCTCGAAAATCGGAACGTTGCGCGAAGGAGGCGATGGTCTGATCCCGTGTAGAACTTAGGAACAACAGCGACTTCGGTTAGGCAAAACCTTCGATTTACTATGATGTGATCTATTTCGTTATGTTACTCTCCATTGGGAGCCTCCCATGTCCATCGCTGAGAAAGAGGCTTTTGGAATTGCGAGTTACCAAGGATGGTTTGGATCGTCATGATAAACTCAGTTAGCTTCTCACCCTGTTCATTCCAATCTAGTCCGTGAGTTTCTTTGTGACGTTCTTCAGACGTTCTTCTAGGTCCAATTTTTGCGTTAGAATCTCCGACAATGGCCTTGAAGAATGTATGATCTTCTCTGAAGAATTTTTCGAGGTCCATATAGAACGCTTCGACTTCGTCTTCGTCATAGCTTGATATTGGTGCGTAAGCAACGAAGATGGTCAAAGCTGGCATAGAACCACATCGTTTCGACCGTAATCGTCCGATACGGGTTGATAATTGTTCAAACAAATCAATGCTCGAGGTCAAATTCGATTTGACGAGGACGCCAACGCCGCCGACACCTCTGCGATCGCAAGTACCAAGGAACAGTTCTTCTCCGGTGTCATAAACAGCGTGAAAAGCATGGCGCCTTCTCGTCTCAGCCAGGCCAATGACGTCGTACCTCATTCTTCTTGCTTGAATCAATAGATCTTCTACAGCGATTGGTGAGCAAGGGTTCTTGCGTTGTAGGTACAGATAGTCATTTTAGTCCGTTGCGATCTTGGCAGCCTAGTTCGTCCCTGAGATTTTAGCAGCCTCTCCGTACTCGTCCTACCTGGCGCTGCCGTACCAGGGGCTCTTTCGGGGTCAGGGGAATGAGGCCCATATTTGTTGCTGTTTTTGGCGCATATTAAGTACACGTGATGAATCATTGGGTCAAGCTAATGAGCCAATAATGTAGCGGTGGTTCACTGGTATGATGTAGTTGTTGAAAATTTGACCTGCCACGAGGAAATTTGAGCGGTACCTCAAACCTGGGAAATTAGAGCTTTATACCAACATTATTGAAACAACGAGAAATAACTACGACAATAAGATATGGTGTTACCGAGTGATGAGTATGTGACACAATGAGCGCTTGTCATATGGAATTGGTAAATAGTGAGCTACAGTGGTGAACTACGATAGAGAGTGAGGATGGTGAAGAGTGAGGAGATTTGTTACGTGACGAATCGAGGTCTTGGTGGTCGTTTGAGTGCCGCCCGGGTGCACTTGCGTTAGATGCGGCTGTGTTGATGGTGGCAGCCCCATTGGCGTCTGAAGTGGCCGTGTTGACGGTGGCGGTCGCATCACGGATGAGCTCCCGAGTCCGAATGGTCTGGTAGTGGAGGAGGCTCGTTACATATAGTGGAGGCGAAGTCGCTTGTCTGCTGTGGAAGTTGCTGGGTTATCGCTGAGCCGTCGCTTTTTTTCGACTCTGACAATGTATCGGTAATAAGACGTTTGCAGGTAGATCAACAAGTCTAGGACATCGCCTTTCGTTCGCTTCTGGCGCTATTCTTAGGATACAACAACGCCTATAGCTGCTTAGGAACTGTCCAGAATTTGAAATAACATTAAACAAAGTGTATTTTACATAGGAGAAAGATCAGCTTTCGCGACAAACAAGTTATTGACGCAAGTAGCGTAATAACACTGGAAAGAAACCCTTGCAATGACAAGGTAAGAAACTGTCAAAAATGAAATAATGTCGCGACGAAGTAAAACTCCATTTTAATATGTAACTTATGAGAATTCTTCACTCTTATCATTATTGCTGCAAATGGCCTAACGATTGAGTTTAGAGGGTTCGTTTCTCTTACTATATTAATAAATGACTACTCTTTCTTTGGAATCTTTCGTGTGCAAGTACCTAATTCAATATCTGAGAGATCTTTTTCAGGAGATAAATTTTCGAAAAGAGCTCTTTAGTCTGATAGGGTATTTAAAGTCTTTTAGAAGTCTAGTATGGCACTTCGAGTGCTAGACGCAAGTTCCGGCTTTCGTGTCAGCAGCATCAGTAGTACATGACTTTCGGTCAAACCGAGCTCCTGCATATAAAGGTATCTACGCCGAACATGCTACACTGCACCCCAGGTGAAAAGATCACCTGACACTGCAGTGATAGACGGTTGCTAGGTGGCTGGGAAAACAAATATAGTAGTACCTTTCTACTCGACTGTTTTTGATATCTCTCGTAAATCCCGATCATGAAAGCCGAAACATTCGTCTAGCACTCGGAGTGTTATACCAAACCTTTGGAAGATTTAAGACATGCTATCAGATTATATGAATTTTTAGTGAGATTGAAAAAAACAGTCGAATAAGAAGGTATGAGCTATTTATTAGAAATTGCTCTAAGATCAATTTATTAATCACTGCTTCTTCATTTTCCGTAAAATTGTGGTGAAAGTCTTTAGTAAAGTAATCAGCTAGTCATATACATTCCTTCTTTGATGGTTAATGCTGCTCAATTGCAGTGGAAGTGAGATCGCTGCAGAACTATTAAGAAAACTGTTTGGTTTGGTGATTCTCGTTCTGTGGAATGTCTCGATGTATTGTCACCTCGCCATCGCCTTCAACAGAGTGATAGTGATCGCGCTGCCTCTACGAGCTTCCGTTGTAATGACAGTGAGAAATATCTCTGTCGTCGTTCTGATCTGCTGGATATTTGCTCTCAATCATATATTGCCGTACTTTCGATGTGAGTTTATGCGTCGTTATTCGCGGGACGCAGGGCACCTCTAACCACTGCGCCGCATGCGCTCCTCAATTCAATCATATATGTTTTATTTATTTGTCTACTTTCAGTTGTTTTTAAGGTATGGATCATAAAAAAAACGTATCGCAGTATTTGAGTTACACGAGACGGAAATGAAAACGGCCGGCAATGTTAACTTAATTGGTTTCGAACCAGCAAGCGTCTAGAGAGCGTAGTATGTTTCAGAGAGACTGGTGGGATTAAGGACCGTCCATGAAAAGCTTTTTCGTCAAACTCGTCTACTCCGAGAATATGTAAAAGATCCGCTGCGAAGTTCGAGAATCCGTGGGCCGAGTGCTTGTGGTGCTCGTCACTGCACGCATGGAGCGGAGCTCCACCCATCTTTTTGCGGCAGTCAAGAACAGCGTTCTATGGAACGCCACAGCAAGGATATCCTTGAGATTGCAAGGGGACTCATCCGATATTTTACGCCTTTTAAGAAGAAGACGAAAAACGAATTGAATGCTAGAAGTACTGCACAGTGAAAGAAACAACATTGTGATGACGGATTAAATAAAGTGCTAAAGTGCTAAAAGTTATCAAATTCAACGAAATCCGGAGCGTTCGATGCGCAAAATGACAGAAACCCGAAATCAATGAGTGGAGAGTCTGAAACATTGTCAAAAATAAGCTGAAGCTGCGTACTTCCAAGATCGCTCGTGTTCACTTTCTGGACGAAAAGATGAAGAAAAACGGCTTCCAAAGGATAGCCAAATGATTTGCCTGATAGCTGGTGCTCGTTTATCGCAGGTGCTATCTACGGATGAGTAGATATTCAGGTAATCCACAACGCCAGTATCGACGTAAGCTTCTCAAAATGGGTAAGCAGAAGTCCTCGGTAGCAAAAAGCGTGGGCCGCAGTCATTTGCCGGCCCCTGTCACGGTCTCGGCCGGCATTTGCACCACCAGAAAGACGCCGGCGTCGAAATTAACGCTGCCAGCTGCCAGCAACAAGTTTAACGGAGCGTATTGGAGCCTTGGAGTACTCGACACTTTGGCGTCGGCGGATTTACGTTCCAGTAGGACTGGGTTATTGCGCATTCGGCCGGCTAGCGAATGCCATCTATCAAAAACTGTTTCCAGGCTTTCAGGGCAAGGGCATTTAGCTGTAAAATTTGCTGGATCTCAACCCAGTAGATTACTCCGTGTGGCCGATGACGAAGGAATAAGTTTTGGCTACTCTCTAAATTAGCGTAGATGCGCTCAAAACGGCTTTATACTTGTTTGGGAAAAGCACAGTGGAAATGTGTGCGAACGTTGTTGGAAATTTTTGTAAACAGCTTCGTATGTCTATAGAACCCAAGGAGGCAATTTTGGCAACTTGTTGAAACTTTTTTTGCGCAACGTTATAGGTGTTGATTTGATAAGCATAATGATTCGTTCAATTGAATGAATTTATCCAGTGATGTAGAGTGATGTGCAAAACCTTTCGCGTTAGGGGGGATTCGAACCCACATCTCAGTCTCTCCGAGAGCGCATGCTCTAATTCGTTGCACTACTGACGCCCATTTTGCACACCACTTTTCCTACGCTACAACGCGTCTATCTGTCAACCGCCAACCGTCAACCTTGGGTAGTCGGTATCGAAATTGAACCCAATCAAGCTGACAGATAATGGGCATTGAATGATCAAATTGAGGTCTTGTATTTGACCACTTTTAGCTGTGGTATGGTAGACGATTGGCGGCTGACAGATAAATGCGTTGTAGCGTAGAAAGGGTGATGTGCAAAATGAGCGTCAGTAGTACAACGGATTAGAGCGCGCGCTCTCGGATAGAGTGAGATGTGGGCTCGAGTCCCGCCTGACGCAAGAAATTTCGCACATGACTCTACATCATTAGGTATATCTAAGCATCATACCACTGCTAAAAGTGGTCAAACGAAAAGATTTCGATTTGAATGAATTTATTTGTTTATGTAGAGTTTTAACTGATGAAATATCTAAAAAATGGCAGAACGTTTCTCACACCCTGTGTAAGCTGCTCCTGCCATTTTTGAACAGCGTTTGATAGCTAAAGTTATTTCGTTTGGAAAGAATGGTGCGATGAGAGGATTTTGCTCTGGATGAAATTTTGTTTTGAGGTGCGATATTTCCTCTGTAGCCATCCAGCAACTACGTTTTCTCAACTTTTGGAAATGACTATTTGCCGAACCATTTCTAGGAACTTTACTGGCAATCATGATCTCGAAAAATTATTTCTAGGTCCTTATAAAGTTTCACAAACCTAAAGATAATTACGTTTTATTGTACATAAGTTGTTGTTGTGCTCGTCGAAGGAACCCAATCCCTTAGTACTTGATCCGTACCCTCGCATTCACCATTTCAGTTCTCTGTCAACATTCCGAATGCTGTTCCGATCAATACTCAAAGATTTTTTCTTTGTAAATTTTATAGAATGGTGATCGAGTCGAATCGCCTTGCAGCCTTGAGGTTAGCTGGAATTGAAGATTCTCACTTCATTTCAGCAGATTGTAGGGAAAAAGGATCTTACCAGCTCTTTACCTCCTGATGCTCACCGTCATTAACCACTCTGCCATATTGTTCTTAATTGACTCAATTACACTGTGTGCTGCAGTACAAAGTACTCCGCACGCATAGAGGCAATCAGTATACTAGAATGAGTCTGATTCGTTCTCAAAGGGTTGGAGTGATGAAAGACGTCGATTGAAAGTTGACACATCCAAAAGAAGGACTTGAAAGATTACCGGAAACAGATATGCGTGCCCATTCTTTCCTGCTAATGTCCAAACATGCTGAGTGTTATGCAGAATTTTGAGCATCGGGCGAGAATTGAACCCGTGCTTCACCTATACCGTGGAGTGAGCGCTGCAACTGCTTTACCAAGGCCAGAGCTCTGCTACCACTCCTTCTTCGATATAGTACATCGCAACTATCACGAACCAGGCGTATGTAAGCATCACACCCAGCTAAGTGACAATTACTGAATGGACGTAATTTCGAAGAATCTGAAAGAGTGGTTGTTTCCATGGTGTAGTGGAATCACACATCGACGGATAGACGTCGAAGTGAGAGTTCATCGCCTGTTTGAGATTCAAATTTTCGCATACCTCTGAGAACCCCTAGATTATAGTTATAACATTATAAAACTGCTATTAATGCAACTAAGTGGAAAATGTAGTAAATTATCTCTTGAGCTGTTCAGTTCACCACGTTTTCCTTCCTGTTTAACGCTCAAAATTTTTTTGACCAAAGTTTCGTCGCCCAGCTTTTTCTTCTGTGTATTAAAATCACATGTGATCATGAAAGCTGAAATCAGAAAAGCATTTGCTTTGAAGGAATAAATTGAATTAACAAATGTCGTTTTGAGCTATCCGAAACGGTAGTCGCCATCGTGACTTCTTTGTCGTTTGACTGAATAGAAAAAAAACAGTGTACAATTACAAAAAAATACAGTACAATTTCAGTCATGATTTTACTTGCTAGGTCGTTAGCGAACAATACAAAAAATTAACCAGCAATCTTTCAAAATAAAATATTTAATAGAAACAAATATTTTGCAGACTCATAGCTGAACTACTTCACTTCCATTTCTCCCATCTTGGTAAAAAAGCCTCATCGAAAAAGGCTCCAGCGGTAATTGGCTTGATCGCCTTGAATATATAACGCACTAATTCTCGGAGCTTTGTCCTGTTCATTATAAATCGGCAGATTACATTTTTTGCAGGATGGCGCCATACTCCACCGTAGATAAGCTAACAATTATACAAAAACACTGTGTAGATACGGAATCGGCTCTGAAAAAATGAAGCGCGTCGAACTTTGGTCGAATAAATTGTTGTTATAACATTTTTGTGACGGTGGTTTACTCAGAAAAGGAGATATAGTCAATTAGTGAGTCCAAAGTTAAAGGAAGGTCGAAATCAGCACTTTTCGTTATAAGCAGTCCATAATGACGTGGTAAGAGGTTTCTAATATGTAGTTCGCTTTAAATGGCCAACATGTTGATAACTTCATCTTTTTATAACACATGTTAAGCTTTTCATAAGGTCTGATACGACATTTCGAGTGCTAGACTACGTTTTGGCTTCCTAGCAAGCATCGGTCATCAGCAGTACGGTGCCTTTCAATTCAACCAAGCCCCTACATATATAACTGAAAGGCACTGCTACTAATGAGGCATGCTAGAAAGCCGAGACGTATTCTAGTACTCAAAATGCCAAATTAGACCTCATGAATGGCCTAAAACATGTTATCAGATTATATCGTTTTGAGCGATGTCTAGAAAACGGTCGAATATAGACAGACTTTATGCTTTTCAAACTGAAAATATTTGTTACTACACAGCCCATTTTAACGAAAAATTCACATTGCTGCTTAGAAAAGATGAACAAACAAAAAGTCACGGAATCAAGCCATCATCCTCATAAATCCTCAGGGTTTTCGTCCTATATGCGGTGCGACCACTCGCACGTCACATACGATAATACGCTTCACAAACTTGTGGCAAATAGCATCCACTAGAGTTCATAGAATTACTATGATTGAGCTCAGTCCAAATCATGTGTAGCAGTAAAGTATTCGCTCTTTCGATCTATTTCTCATATCTTAATTCATATAAACACCGCTCCAGGCTTGCTCCTTGATATTCAACATGGACAGTGATTGTACTTCAGAAATCGAACCAGAGCCTAAACAATCACTCCTATTTAGCCACACATATTTAACGTGAGCCTGCTACGCCACCTCAACGTGCAAGCTTCATGTGAAGATCGTGTTTAAACCACTCAGAATCTACGTTAATTTTTTTCGTGACATGCGGCGGGACCGCGTGGAGCGCGCGGCTACTGCAGTGATTTCAGAGACAATGTGGTAGTTTTGTAATCAAATTTAGATTTATCACAACAGCTGATGGTTCTAACGTCAGTAGATTGCTGAATGTGATATGAACGATTGCGAAAAGGCTATTTTTAGTTGAAACGTGCCAAAACAATCGCAAAACGATGAACTGTTTAATAAAAATGATTCTGCACATTACACTGTCGTGTATCTTCATCAATACGTCTGAGCAACTTCACATTATTAGTGGGCTTCCGGAGTTAAGACTATCTTAAGGTTGACATTTTGTTTTTTTTCCTATGGGCAATAACCTCTTAAATATACACTTAAACACAACCATGAACAGTATTTATTGCTCTAACCTGAAAACGCGTCTCTCTTCTAAAAATTTGGGTAGATGAATTCCTACATTGTTAAATATTACTTTTCGTTGCGAACAATTTTGTTCAGGATCTGAATTTTACTATACAGTTTCAAAAATCCTCTGTGTAGTGGAAAATCGCTCTCCTTAAGAAAATAATTATACTTTTAAACTATTAAAACATAATTCGGAGAACGCTTACAAAGCAATCTTACTGGCAAAATCAACACTTTCGGAAGTATTGGAGAAGCATAAACCTTAGAGAGAAAACAATCTTACGTACAGCTGAAATATGTTACTTTCCGCAACGATTCTAATTTATTCCTGAAACGAAGAGGATTATTCGATACTTAGACGTTCTATATATTGAAGCCTTCATAGAAGTGTCTTATGTGGTAATTTATCATCTAAATATTATAATGCTTCCTTGGAATCTCAATTTTCAATTAATTTCTCCTGTTTCCAATGTCGCGAGTACAAAGCAAGATTTCCTCCGCGCGTGTTGCGCATTACAGCGAGAGGCGGTACATATATATCCCGCTTGAAACTAAAGGAGTCGATCTCCTATTGCCTTGTGGACCAATATTTTTACGTAGAAATGGTTCTCATATAACCACGTACTTTATCCTGCAGATTTCACTTAGAATTCTTTTGTTATTCCTTGATGTCGCCATTGATATGAAGCAATTCCGCCCTGACTTTTCGCACGGTAGTCGGCGCAACCTGTAAACGAAGAGCGTAAACTCATGTTGCACTGCAAATGAACAATTGGTCAAATTATCAACTCTTCCATCATTGTATGGATATGAGCTTAAATATTGTAGCATAAATTCCCAGTTTTAATACGCCATAATTTCATAAATTGCCTAAAAGTCAGAAATCGTCCAAGGCTCATATTTAAATAGACGTCACAATCTTATAATATGTTTTTAGTCTGTTATGAGGTCCGTCATGGCACTTATATGGTACCAAGCAGCTATTTTGCCTTTCTTAGCTCATCAGTAGTACGGTGCTTGCCGGTTCAGCCGATCCCTAGCAAGGGTATCTACCCCTTAGTTACAAAGGAATCGGTGCCGAATTATTTATATCACCTCATGTCGAGTGACAAAATCCCCGACATTGTAATGACCACATGAATTATTTCAGATCACGAAGCTGTCTAGTACTGCGTAAGTGCTATACAAGACCTCAAGGCTCAAACTATGTTATTAGATTACTACATTATTACCGCTTTAGAGCGAAGTCTATTTAAACAATCGAACTTGAATTTGTCACAATGTTAGTTGCATGTTGTGTGAAGTTGCACCACACTGGCTAGTAAGAAGTCGGCCATTTTTGTAGTGTGAGGTCGCTATCGAACGCTTTAACTTCCTTAATGCTCTAATTTTCTATGGCAATAGGCAATAATGAACAGTTCAAGAGTGAAAAACTGTGACACATTGTACCTGTTGCTCACAAGGCTATTTCCACACGAATTTGGTACGGCTAAGTGACAGTGGCACTCTAATCTTTTAGGCGCCGCTCGATACATTTTGTGCGAAACCGCGCAGTTTCGCACGCATTATGATATCACCAATATTTCGAATAACCGATTTTTAATTCACCCTAACGTTGATAATCATGTCGTTTTGTCTCTGTGAGCTCTTTATGA